CTATAATTTTTTTTAAAAAAAACCTACAGATTACAAAAATTTCATTTTTAAAGTTTTTCTTCGTAAAATATGACTAAAATTAAAGATGAGACAAGTAAATTTAAGATTTTTTATAATCTTATTTGCCAGACTGGTGGCTTCTTTGTTGAGTGCGGCGCTCTTGACGGAGAAACGCGTTCAAACACTCTTTTCCTCGAACGGTTTCTGGGTTGGGAAGGTATTCTTATTGAGGCTGACCCGAAAAATTTCCAACTTGTTCTGCAGAAGAACAGGAAAGCTTGGCTTGTCCCTGCTTGCTTGAGCCTCGAGAGGAGACTTACGATGGTAAAAGTGAAAAAATTGATAAAATTAATAAATAAAAAAATATATATATTTTAAATAAAAAGGTTTCATATCGTCAAACTTTTAACACCGGCAGAATTGATCAGATCATCCAGGACTCTGCGAAATTAACTGCCGTGAAGGACCACGCACACGTCATGTGCGTTCCGCTAACAACTATTCTATTGGCCGCCAATAGAACTCGAGTTGATTATTTCAGCCTGGACGTCGAAGGGGATGAGTTGGAAGTGCTCAAGACTGTCGATTTCAAAATACTTGATATTAGAGTAAGTTTTATCCTAAAATTAATGAAATTTACTTTAAATTGTCATATTTTCAACAGATATTATCGGTCGAGTTTACTCATGCTAAAAACGCTACAAATGTGCAGAAATATATGGAAGAAATTGGTTACGCAGTACATAGTAAAGTTGTTAGAAAAGATAAATATGCTAATGATTTTATTTTTGTAAAGAGAGAATCGTTATAATGTTAATCAGTAGAATTAAATATATTTAATATTTAATAAAAGTGCTGATTTGTTTAGTGATTATTGCTTATTTAAAAAAATATGGTTAAATAACCATATTTAAAAAAGTGGTTATTTTTATAATTTGTAAACACTACAAAATTATATTTAAAAGTTTAACGAGTTTAATTGGTAGGGAAATGCACTGGAAATTAAATTAAATAAATCTCAAATATGATTAAAATTAAATAAATAAACATAATTTCACTGGTCTAAAAATTAAATTTAAGAGACAAAACATCTCTAGGATTCAACAAACATAGACATAATTATATAAATTTCATTCAACTCATAATTCATGTCAATATCCACTGTTCATTGTTCATCTTCAGTGGATAATGTATTTTTGGTTCCTTTCGATTTTAATCACTTTCTTTAGGACATGATTCGAGTTTAATCACGTAATCCACATGAAAAGTTCTTTTAAGACACGTATATACATTCTTAGAGGCTTTAGAAGGAAAAGCTCTACTCCTGTCAATAAAATGCCACGCTTGTGCTCCGAGGGTTCTTTTTAATCACCTTCAAATAGCATCTGGCGAGGAACTGCGCTCCAAAAATAACTGCCTCTATCTCTCCAGATATTCCCTCTCTTTGAAGCAGCAATTTGCCCGATTGTTTAAATTGCACGTCGAATTTCGTGCGTGGCATGAAAAAGCTATAAATCTCCCGGTGCGGCAAGAAATGATGGAGAGCAAAAATAAACGGCTGGGGAAAAAAGTTCTCGGCGTAAATCTGCATTCACCTGCTGGCGAAAAAGGCGAACGGATTTGGTTTGCAACCTGTTGGCGAAGATAAATTTTACCGCAACATTTGGAAGAAATTTATTCGTGTGGAATACGAAATGAGAGGGAAACTTTATTTGCAAGAACTTTTCTTAAATAAATTTTGCAAGGAACGATAGAAGCGTAGGGGAAATTCTTCTGATAAAATATAGATAGCAACTTTTTTTTATTTCCATGCCAAAGTTATTGAAAATCAGACATTTGCAATAATTAAGGATTTTCAAATCAGGCAAGGAAGTTTAATTTAAATATGTAAATTTCATCTTCAAAAACATATTATATCAAGTAAGTAATTCCAAAAAAAGTTTAGAAATTAAAAAAGGAATTTTTTATAAGAATAAATTCTTGAGAGAATTTTTCATCTACTATCAAAAATCTTATCACGTTTTGCAAATTCTAGAAAAGTTATGTAAAAGATTTTAACACTGTCTCAAAATTGCTGAGTAAAAATCCAATCTCAACAAAATAACTTGCTAATTTCAAGAGTATTAGAAAGGAAAAGCTTTGAAAGCGTCTTTAGCTTGAAAAATAATTTCCCCGCATTGCCTTTTTTAATTAAAACTTCTTGCCGTAAGGCGTCGGCGCATAATCGAATTTTTTTCCTCAAATTTAATCCACTCTCAAAAGATACATTATATAATAATATGGCAACGACGCTTGGCGTCATTTTAATCTCATTAATCCGTCGTCGTCTCATCTGGGAAACTGTCAGCTTTCATCACGTGTAGGCTTTCATATTTGTATTTGGATTGGCATATAACAAAGAAGATTCTCCAGCGTAATTTTGTTTGCAGCCATCTTTGAAGGAGCATTATTTGTGTCATTAGCAGACTTGAAATTTTCTTTGAGCTAAAAACGATGATATTATTTTCATGAGATTCTTTGATCACATTTGGAATTACTTGTGTTGCATTTACAAAGAATTTTGTACAAATATTTGCAAAAAAGCATCAAAAATTTAACCAAAACTCCATTGAACGTGTATTTTGCTTATAATTTTGCAGGTCAAACAAATATTTTTTTTTCACTCGGAAAGCAAGAAAACAACTCACAATTTTGAAAATTAAACTCACTGCTGGAAAAATTATTCGCTCGACGGCACACCAAAGAACGAGGGCCTTGTGCTGATTTCTTCTTCCACATAAACGGCAGCCGTAGGCGTCGCTAAAGGACGAGGAAAAGCGCATTCCTCATTAACCAACTGCGAGGCACGTGCAATCATTTCTCCACTCACTCAAAAGATAGGACTTTTGCCGTCAATTAATAAAATGGGAGAGGCAATGTAAAATTAATTTTGAAATATTAACTCTCGCAACTGAAAGGAATATCAAACTGGCTATGGAAACATATTTGTTTGTTTTATATCTTTCAATACAGAATGTTAATAATTAATAACAGGAAAAATATGACAAGGAAAAAGAACATTTCCGTGTAACATCAATATTGGTATAAATATTTGTTTCAAATTAAAAGGTAAATTGGAATATGCATGCATGGATGTCTATAAAGGAGGATAAGTTAATTATTTTCGGCTTTTCCCTCATTGCTCCTTATTGGAAAACTGATTTAAAGAATGCTTAAAAAGGGAAAACAGCATTTTTTCGGACGAGGAAAAAGCCCACATTTGCTTCACTCATGAACTTGAGTGCCGATTATCACTAAAATTGTTTTCGCTTTCGTTATTTCCCAGTTTTTGTTTATTTAGTCTTTAATTCTCAATCATTTTTTTTTTTAATTCTTAAATTTTTATTTAAAATATTTTCAAAGAGTAACAACAATAAAAATTGAAATCAAGAATCAGTAAAAATCTTAATTTTTCTCACTGTATGAAAAATCCAGAAAATTATTATTTTTTTTTTTTAAATCTCACATTATTTTGAGTATGCATAGCGCAATTCGCACAGATTCTCTGTAGGAATTAATTTTAGAGCAAAATCAAGCAATCAATAAGTGAAAAACAAATTCACCTTCATATTTTTATAAATAAATTTTGCATTAAAAGAGGATAGGATTATTTAGAGGCAACCAAAATCATTGGAATTTAGAACTTCTATTAGCTCATTCAGCTTTCATTTTTCAGCAAATTAAGCTTTTTTGAATTTTTATTAGCAACAAATTCAGCCTCGAAACGAATTCTTTCTCGTTTCCGTTCAAGATTTGCCTGACATATTATCTCTTCTTCGCAAGAACATTCCGCGCTAATTTTATCTCTCTCTTGGTTCCACTCTTTTGAGAGGCTCTCCAGCTTTTCTAAAGAGTATTTTGGCAGGGGGACTTGATTGGCACTACTTGGAATAATAATCGGCAACGCGTCTCCGGCAGATCGACTGAGCTGTCAAACCGAGAAGAGTCGAGAGGATGTTCTCAAAGGGGGGAAATTCCGCGTCTCTCTCAAGATTGAAACGCAAACTCTCCTGATCTCATTTTTTTCATTTCCATTTCTTGCGAATGTTGGCCATAAAGTGGAAGATATTTGACACATTATTAAGGGCTGTGTCGGCTGGAACACGCACAAAATTGGACCATTTCTCTGCGTGAAAGAAGAAACCCTTTTTCTCCGGAGAATAAATATTTATTAGGAGAGGTCGAGATCTGCATTTGTTGATGCGAAGAGAGCAGAAATGGAATTTCACGTTTTGCACGGACCATTGACTCTCACTCATTTCCAATATTCCGGCTTTCTTCACAAAAGCAGAGATGGAAATATTTTAGAAAGTGGGAAAAAAATTTAATTTTGATGCATTTTTTGTCATTTATTGCTGAGCCTGAAAATATTTCGTGTTCAGTTCAATTTTATAGCCAATGTTCTAAATAATGTCTAAATTGTTTTTTGAACATTTCAACTATTGTTTATTTTCTGCGCAAAAAAATATCATTTGCAACTAAAAGTCCGAAGGTCACGTATTTGCTTCGGCCATTTCAACTTTTTGCTTTTCCCAAAAAGGAAAATTATGATTTTTGTTGTTGCCTCGGAGCATAAAAAAATCCGAGAGCTCGCTTTTTTGCGCCCCTTGAGGCGTGCAATTCCAGTCGTTAAACCGTCCTGCTTCTTGCGCCATAAAAGGCGCGCGCAGCGAGTTTATATACGTCGCGGTGTAATCGCTCATGATAACTGCCGAAATAATTGCAGCCTTTCCACACATGCTAGAAAAATGTGCACAAGTTATGGTGCTTGCATAAAATTTTACGACTTTGTCAGTGAGAGAGAGGATTTAACGGGGGCTGAAATTTTCCCGAGCCAATTTTACGGCTGAAACACACTTGAGTGTGTATATCGTGACGTCAGATCGAGAGATAATTTCCTAGTGTGCGGAAATTGATCTTGAATTATTTATATGCTGTAATTTTATCGGTGCTTGTTGCAGGATGACGGAAATGATTCTCCAAGATCGGATAGTGGTGGACCAGTTGTACCAACACAGCAACTGCACGTCTCTCCACACAGAATACAAAAAAGGTATAGTGCAAAACTCAACTTTGGAGAATGTTGTCTTAAAAAATATGCTAATTTGATAAAATGATCAAAAAATTAGATTCATTGAGTCAAATACACAGAAAATAAATTTTTTTTTAGCAAATATTGTCTTTCTTTAGCAATTTTTTCCACTATAAAAAAGTAAAAAAATATTTTACAATATATGGATATTTTATTTTTGCCTTAAAATTTACTACGCATAATATTAAAGACAAAATGAACTGTAATTTGCTTTAATTTAAATCAAAACATTCTAATTCTAATAAAAAACAGTTGAAATAGTTGTGGAGTAGAAATAAAAATTCTGCAAAATAGTTATTACAATTTTCTACAGATTGTGTTGTATTAAAAATTTACACTGATTCCAAGACAAATTAAAATTATCCTCAAATTTTAATTAAACGGTGGAGGTCTTTTGACAAGAGTCAGTAATTTATGAAGGATTCTTGTTGCATGAATTCAATTCTAATGAATTTTCCATTTAAAAATGTACTTTTTTAAATAAACAGTTAAAAACATTTGCAGCTATAGGGGAAATAAATTACCAGAAATTATGCCCGGCTGAATTTGACGGCGTTTCGTGTTGGCCACCGAGCTTTCCGGGGACAAACGCCACCCGTCCTTGTCCTGCGAGCTTTAAGCAAGTCAGCGGTGAGCATAAAAAAGTCTAAAAAAAAAAATCAATAAATTTATCCTCTTTTCGCCCTGTTGCAGTTTCGCGGTTTTGCAAAGCTGACGGCGCGTGGGAGCCCCTGAATAATGGGACCTACAATCCTTGTGGCCTCCTCCAAGATCACGTGGCGGTGAGAGAGAAAAGTTTTAATTGAGGGCTAATTAGCGCAGAGTGGGCCGGCTATGCAACCGGGCTTGCTCGAGGGCCGAGCCGGTTGCCTAGTCGGACCACTGCAGGCGCTCCTTGTGAAGAGAGAAAGGATGTTGCACTCATAAGTTAGATTTATGTGCGATGTAACCCATTAATTAATGATTTGACCATGTTTAATTAATTAGTTTTAATTACATTTTAGAAGATTTATCTAAATCAAATCCTCCAATATTGTAAAGTTTAATTTATTCTCATAAACTTTGCAAATAATAACAATGTAAGCAAATAAAATTTTTTGGGTCAATTTTAGCAGATGATGAGAGATTATTTTCAAAGCCACCGTGCTTGTTTTAACAGATTATGATACACACTCCTTCAGTTCCCACCAATGATTTATCCTTAATAATTCCTGCATATATTTTTATTTCTAAAATGGGACACTGTTCAAACCAGCAAAGTTGAATTACTTTGTTATTTTAGGTGCTTCTTTTCAATTAATTTTTTTCTGCTGTATTTGAATTTTTTCAACCCTGTGTATACAATGTATCAATTACAAATCAGTAAACGGCATCAGATGCGAAATCATATATACTTTTACAAGCAGATCCCTGGTATGAGCCCTTTTTTATTTTGAAATTCCATCAGAAAAGAATTTTATTCATTCATTCTGTACTATCGAGTTCAAAACGAGGCTGTTCTATTTCTGGCACAGTGGGCGCGGGCAAAAAATGGAAAATATTGCACATTTCGCATTCTGCTACCGTCAATTCAAATGTCAAACTCATTTTTATTCAATATTTGGCCCTTTTTCAATATAGCGAGAGAGCAAAAAAGGAATTCACGTTTTTTTTTCTTTGCCGTTTTTCTGTGAGGACGAAACGCTCACAGCAATAAATTGATTTGTTTCGTCTGATTTTGATATAAATTCTCTCGCACGTCAACAGTCCCTATCTCTGCCCCTAAATTGAAACGGCTCCCCCGAGGCTCGAAGGTCTAACCGCAGAAGTAATTTGCTCCTCAGGCGCTGCGGCGAGTGTACGGTTACCTAAGGGCGCCGGGGGCCAAGGTGCCTGCCAAGTGGTATCTCCATCAACGACACGCTGAATGTCTCGACAAAATAAACGAGGCACAACCGCCAGCCATCGCACAAAAAGGTTCGTGGAACAAGAAATTTGTTTATGACGAAAAGAAATTTCAGATTGTGTTTTTTACATTTTGTACCTTAAGGTATTTATTTAAAATTTAATTTTTAATTCATTTTTATTTATTGTTTTACAAGATTGAATTTCTTGTATGAAAAAATTCTTGACACGTAAGAAAGCAGAGTGATACGTTCAAGGTTAATTTTTATTCATTAAGATCAATCAAGCCAAAAATTATTTGTCTCGTTTTTACTTGAGCTTGCGGAAAGCGTTAGAGCTCTATTATTTTTATTGATTTGCATGTGTGTTTACAATGGGGATTTTTACAAAATGTTTTATAAATAGCAGGCCACATAAACTAATTTTGCTAATGCTCCAGCTAAATCAAATATTTTAGAGATTCCATGGTAAAATTATGGCCGAAAATAAAATTAATTAATTAATAAATAATTTGCATCATTCCAAAAAACTTCACCTTTCATGCGTTTCAATTTAATTTAATACTAAAAATAAAAAAATTATTCTATAAAAGGTGATTGCTTTGAATGTCCACAAAAAAAATTAACGAGGCCGTTCACGAATGATTTAAGATATATTGGACAGATTTTTTTTGTTTCGAGCACCACTCTGATTTTTAGATATGTTGTTAGGGTTGATGAGAAACTACTTTGACCAAATTTTTAGACCAAAATTTTTATTACTTTTTGAAATATTCGGGTTTTTTTAAAAACTCAAAAATGCTTATATCTTTGCTCCTATTAGTTTTAAAGCAATTTGGTTTTCACCACAGTAGGTTACTTTTTAATTTGAACAATTTTGCTGTTGACCAAATTGCCCTAGGTCAAAGGTCAAGGTCATTAAAATGCATTTTTAGTTTTTGAGGTCATTTTTCTCAAAGAAGCGTATTTTTGATATTTTTTAAATGCAAAAAATGTAGCCCATGAAATTCTACATCTGGTCCGAAATATTTGCGATGGCGTATATCTTAGTTTTTAGTTATTTTAATTTAAAATTAAAAAGATGCGTTTTTCCGATTTGCGGTATTTTGACATTTTTCTGTTATATTATTTCTAAGCAGCCTAGAGCAATGCGGTTTACACTGCTAGACCTATTTTTTAATTTTGAACAACTTTTCTGTTGACAAAAAATACCTAGGTCAAAGTTCAAGGTCAGTAAAATGCATTTTTATTTTTCTAGGTCAATTTTCTCAAAGAAGCGTATCTCAGATTTTTTCCGCAATATAGAAAAAAATGTTGCACATGAAATTCTACATCTGGTAGGAAAAATTCAGAATGGCATAATTTTTAGATCTAAAGATATTTCAATAAGAATAAAAAAAAAGGCAAAAAGGGTCAGAATATTATATACGGAAACGAACTTTTTAAATATGTTAACATGAATGGAAATTTAAGAATTTATTTTTAATAAAAAAAAGCCATTTGAAGAGTTTTCCTTGACAAAAATTGACCTGGATAAATCTGAAATCTGAACCTTCTTGGTGGAAAGACGACGTTTGGGCATTAGCGATTTCTCTCTTTTCGCCCACTTTGTAGAGAATGGAAAGAAAGAAAATGTCTCAAGTGCTGCCGGCAGATCGTATTCTCTCTGATTGATTGATTGATATCTTTCTCTGTCTCGCTGCAGACGGAATCAACGTTTGTCCTATGACGTTCGACGGATGGTCTTGTTGGGACTTCACCCTCCCCGGGGACACGGCCTTCGCCTCCTGCCCTAAGTACATGACCGGATTTGATCCCACAAGTAAGTGAGTTTCAACAGGAATTGCGTTTAAATTAAATGCTTCAATTAATTTAATTATAAAGCCTTTGAGTTTGAGAAGCTGCGCTCGACTTCTTTGTTTTACAAGAAGCGCGTTTTAAATTGCAGGATTCGCGTTTCGCAAGTGCACCGAGAACGGAACTTGGTTCAAACACCCGGAGACCGGAAATTCCTGGTCTAATTACACAACTTGCGTAGATGTTGAGGATCTCCAGGTAATTATTTTTCTAATTAAGTATTCTTTTACTTGTAGCTGACTACTTTTATGACTTGGGGAACTAATTAAAATTAATTGGCGCAAATATTTTGCAATGCTGAAAGTTTAAAAAAGGCTCGCCCACGAACGATTTTAATTCTCAGATAATTGTTAGTGTGCGTGTGTTTTTTCTGTTAAAATTAGTGTAGAGTAGTGTTTTGTTTGTGTTGTAAAGTGTAAAGCAGTTTTAGGGGTTAATTTTTAAGAGATTTTTAGGTGGATTTACTGAAACTGTGCGAGAAACACTTGGCTTTAAAGAATGGAATATACAAACCAAAATTTTGAATTTCCGAGTTTTAATTGAAATTTTTTTTTTTTTTTGTGACTCAAAAATATTAATTTTTGAGACATTTTAAAAATTAATTTCTCAATTAAAAGTCAAAATTTTGGTTTGTATATTCCATTCTTTAAAGCCAAGTGTTTCTCGCACAGTTTCAGTAAATCCATGTAAAAACCTCTTAAAAATTTAAAAAAGGAGCTTGAAATCGCGCCTATTTAGTAAAACTGAGAGGCCTGAGAGCATAATTTTTTAATGAAGGAATCTGCTCGAAATCTACTAATCGGACCAATAATTATTGAATAAGATGATAGATGATCCGCTTTGACTTTCATACATATTTAATTGGTTTTTAATTATTTACTGTAAATTAAAATATAAATTATTTTTACCCTGTCCTAATTCTTAATTGAAGAAAATAGGTGGAAAATATGAAATTATTGATTGGAAGACATTGAAAGACTGAATAAAAAATATTAAAAAGTTCAATCAAAGGGCAAGTTTGTTAGGAACAACAAAATTACCTTTTTACGAATAAATTGTCTCATTATTTTCTTGCGTGACTTATTTTAAAATATGATATTTTACTTTCTCTGTAAATTTGATAAATTTGTGGGGTTTATTTTAATGGTAATTAAAAAATCCAAAACTGAAAACAGATTGCAACAATACTTATTGTTAGGCTCACTGCAGCAGTCTCTGATTTAAAGCAGAACCTTTTATTTATTGTTAGTAAAAAAATTTGGTTTCCCTTGCAACAATTGAAATAATTGTTTAATTTTTTAATGTTTCAATGAGAATGTAAAAAAAATACACCCCATTCTAAAGTTGCAAAGTTACTTTGCAATTATGTTGTACAATTACTTAGCTGACTGCAAGTTTTGCAAAAGTTAAATTAGAAACGCTCTTACTTTACAAATTTCTTGCTAAAGCCTCTTGACAAATGGTGGCTGAACGGAGCAATTTACCCTGAAGTTAATCGCGCGAATTGGCGACCCACTTTTTGCAGTTCAGACAACTGGTAAACACGCTCTACATTTCGGGCTACTCGCTGTCGTTCGTAGCGCTGGTGCTGTCGCTGCTGCTTTTCACTTGCTTCAAGTGAGTACATCCTTTTCCAACTGAAAGAACCATTTTATTTAAACCCACTGCATAATCCTGCTCTATCCGCGGTTATTTTGAGTGAGTGCATTATTTGTAAGATAGAAATGTCGCTGGCAGGGCGCTCAAGTGCACGCGCATCGCCATCCACGTGCAACTCTTTGCCTCCTTCGCCCTCAACAATCTGATGTGGATCATCTGGTATTACTTTGTCGTCGGCGACCTCGACACTGTCGAGAAAAACAACGTGAGTATTTTTTACTGGAAAAATTAAAATATTTTTGTCAGTTTTGTCACAAACAAAAAAAAAACAAATGAATAAATAATAAATATAAAAATTCATAGGACAAATTTTTAATAATTGAAAAAGAGTTTTCAAATTTGATAAAAATCATAAAAATATCAGATTACTTTATTTTTCTTACACAATTTACGAAGGGATTCATTGTTTAGTTCAAAAGTCAATTTATTTTAGAAAAAAAATTCAAGTATTATCGAAGTTTATAATAAAAGTTGTAAGGAAAATTAATATTTTATAAAAAAAAAATCGAATATTGCTTCAAAAAATTAATTTGTTTCGTAATTTTTAGTCTCGCATATACATATGTAATTATTTGCGTCAGAATGGATTTTGGAGCGCAACAAATTGCTTTTTCACCAACCTAAGATTGTATTTCCCATTTTCCACTTTTCATTTGTCAAGCGTGAAATTGAAACCCTCTTCATAAACCTTCTCTTAGCATAATCTTCTTTGCTTGCTGGCGTCGAGTATATTATTATGTGTGTGAGCTGAAATTTCGCATCTCGCACATTCTTTCTTTTTGAGGTGTGCCAGCCGCTCGTATTTCATTTCGCGACGTCAAATGCAATATTGAGCAGCGACGAGCGACCGAAAAACAACCTTGCTTGCTTTTTTGGCGCCGGTGATTTATTGACGGATAAACAATTTTTTCCACACCTCCGATATTATAATAAAAACCCATAAATTTCTGTGACGCTCGCTGCTTTTATCAGCTCGAAATGTGCAAACAATCTTCTGTTTGCGGTTGTAAATTATTGAAGATAAAATTAATAACTGGTATTTTTACTTTCAATTAATTATCAAAAATAATTAAAACGGTGTGATTATCAATATATTATTTCATTGAGTTTGTAGTCGCTTGTCAGCAATAATGGAATTTAATTTATGGTCACCTACATTCGATTATTTTAATCATTTAAATTTTTTAAAGTTGCCTAATTAAAGCGGAAGAAAATTCATTTGGCCTCAACTATAATTTGCGATTCTAATTTATTTTATTTCTTTAAAATTTAAAATACATTATTAAATTATTTTAATTTTTTGACGCATTTTGTAATTTTTTTTTCAGACGTGGTGTCAAGTTCTGCACGTCATCCTGCAATATTTGATGGTATCCAACTATGCGTGGATGTTCTGCGAAGGGATGCACTTGCACCTTGCCCTGGTGGTCGTTTTCGTCAAGGACGACGTGGTCATGCGCTGGTTTTACGCGGTCGGCTGGATTTTGCCCGCCCTGCTGGCCTCCGTTTACGCCCTGGTTAGGTCATACGTGGTGCAAGAAACGGAAAGGTGAGTGATCAATACAATTTTGGCCCGATACTATATAAAAAGTGTTCAAGCTAATGAAAGTATGTATTCCGTTTTAAACTAAATTCAAATTTTGAAAAAAAAAAATACAAAAATATTTTTATTGGGATAAAATTGTAGGTTATGCAATTATATTAAAAAATTTTTTTCAGTTACAAAAGATTATATCTTCAAATTTCCAGAACAATATATTTTGTTTTGTTTTTTGTCTTTATTCAACTTCATATAATTGCTCTGAATAAATCTTTTATTTTCTTAATATTTCAATTCAATGTTGAAACTTTTGCTCAGGTGCTGGATGGAGGACAGTCACAGTACGTGGCTGCTGACGGCGCCCGTCCTGTTGTCAATGTTGGCCAACCTGTTCTTCCTGATCAACGTGGTGCGCGTGCTGCTGACCAAACTGCACCCCCGCTCGTCCAACCCCGCGCCCAGGGGCATGCGCAAGGCGGTCAGGGCCACCCTGATCCTGATGCCGCTCTTCGGCATCCACCACATTCTCATTCCGTTCCGACCTGAGCCCAGGGCGCCTGGCGAGAGTCTTTACCAGATTTTCAGCGCTTTCGTCGTATCTTTGCAGGTAATTAAATTAACTTAAAAACTTCATTTCCACCTTTACAATTGACGTAGATTTAATAATAATCGATGCAAGCTCAACTAACCTGCAAAATAAGAGCTCAAATCTATCTACACATAAATTCTTGCAAAACGAATAATTTTTTTTTTAGTCTAACTATTGGAATAGAAAGCGGGCTTCAGGAAACAATAATATTATTTTTTTGTTGAATATTTAGTTGATATTTTTGTTAAACTTTTGAGGTAGAAAATGCGCCTGAGGTCTCGTCGGTCTCTATTCAGTGCTTATTTTAGTTTGCAGCCCCAACTACGGAACTACTTCAAGCAAATTAAAATCCCCTTGCCACCGGGTCGTAAAATGTAACTTCGGGCTATTTATTATGTCAAAGGTCCCAAGCTCTTGAATAAAACTTTGCCTGTTTAGTTTCAGTCTAGAATTTTGCCCGAGGCAAATTTTATTAAGAGGATTTGTGTCGTGGGAGAAGCAATAAGTGCCCATATTACGCCGAATTAGGGGCGGATTGCCGGTGGGGTGGCACCCCGAAAAGCGGAGGCGGCTTAGTGGCGATCGCCTTGTGTACTGCGGCAGATTACTTGCTACGCTCCGGTCTCTCTTAATATGAGACGCATTAAGGTGGAGCAAACAGACTGGAAAATTGCCCATCTTATAAATTTTGAGAAAGCCTTTTTTCCACCGGACAAAAGAGCTAAGCCGCTTCTTTCACCATGCGTACCTTTTAGAATTCACTAATCCGTGATGAAATAAAAATGGGCTAAGTTTACTCTTCAGATTTTTTGTTTATATATTGTTAAAATATCTATAGTCTTGCCTAGTTTTCGTGAAACACTGAAAATACTCTCATCAAAGAAGCACTTTAAAAAACCATCTTTGAAATTTAATTTAAAAAAAAAAAATGGTTTCGGGAGACTTTCAAGTCGCTAAGATTAAAGATAAGATGAATCAGCAATTGGGACAATTGAGAATAATTTTAATTAATATTTTTTCTGTGTTTTAACTTTCACGTTTTTCTTAATCCCTAGGGAGAGCCCTTTAATGTAGGATTAGGATTATGACAAAGCTAGAGTTGGACCAGATGGAAAATAAAATATGACATCAAATTTTTCTGCAAAATATGCAACGCCAAAAGTAATACTTGTGAAACCACCAAAAATTGGTTAAATTTTTTCAAATTTTTCATGGAAATTTAATGTGACGAGAAAAAGTTGATTATAAAATTAAATAAAAATATTATCATTGCGAAGTCAAAATTTAGGAAGTATTGAAGTTTCAACTGAAAATAAAGCCAAAATTTGAAGCACATAGGTTGTTGTCTCTTTTTAAGACATCACCAAAATATCATTTATGCTTTATACGTTTATAGTAATTAAATGCTACATAATATAATTGAAGACTGGTGGAAACACAGGATCAGCTTGTTAGCTTACAAGATCGCAACATAGCGCTTTTCTTAGCTCAAAGAGTTTCCAAGTTGGGAGCAATTTCGGCTCTCGCACAGTCAGGCTCGTTATTTCACCTCCGAGACACACTCCAGGTGCCTTTAAAGTGTTGTCAATTAATGAGCCGAGGCTGAATTTGAAACAAAAGACAAAGCGGCTTTGGCTGGCAACACACCAAAAGCCGCCGCGTGTCTTTGCTTCTTTTCCAAGCAGAGCAAATAATAACCTGCTGTGGTACAACCCACACGGGAAATGATTTTCCCGCAGAGAGACACACTCGGCACAAGAAAATAAGCACGAACGGAAAATTGAAGGCGGTAAATTGAGAAAGGGTTTATTTTTCTGCTGGAAAATTATAATTTTAGAATGGAAACAATTCTAAATGTAAAGTCATGATTATATTTTTTGCTCTGAAAAGTAAAAAAAAAAAGACTTTTAAACTTTAGTAAGCATTTGAAAGTTTGTTAAAAATAAAGGTTTTAAACAATTAAAATCTTAAATAGAGGCAAATTTTTGTGTTTAAACACAAAAAATATTTTATAAATATAATTTTAAATTTAAAAGACCTTCTTTTACAGTGTAATTTTGGATAATATTTTATCGCTTGCCATGTTTTTAGACCCAAAGGGTTCTGATCTAAATATTTTGAACTATAAAAATCAATTAAAACAACAGTAATTAAATAATAAAATGACATAATTGTATATTTTTTTGCTAAATTATTGAGTTATCTTATTATATAGAATTCCTAAGAACAAAATTATTTTGTGATTTCAGGGTTTTTGCGTGGCCTGTTTGTTCTGCTTTGCAAACGTGGACGTTCACGGCGCCATCAGGGCGTGGGTGCGCCACCTTCGGCGACTCAGGGCCAACCCTTACGCGCCCTCGACCGGTCCGACGAACACCGCGACCAGGGAGGCGTGCGTCGGTCTTTGATTGTCCGCTCCACGCGCGGCCTCCCTGCGCCACGCACCCTTCGTCGACCCTGGCGTCAGGGTGGCGCAGATCATCGCTTCCTCGAAGGTTTAAAACAAAAAAATACACGCTCATATCGTTTATAAATACATCTAGGTGCGCTCAACAAATACGAAAAAAATGAAAACTGAATAATTATAATTTGCGTTTTTGATTCTCGGTTTATTATTAATTTCCAGTGATCATCATTCCTGCCATATTCTTTATAATTAATTTTTAATCGCTTCCTTCACGTGAGCGAATATCTGTTGTGATCAAAATGTATAATTATTAAGAACAAAATAATATTTTATTTTAATTGCGCAACACGGGGAATTTTAATACGCTTATGCAAAATGGAAAAAATTATAATATAATATTATATACTGTTGTGGTATATGTGCAAGTGTTTTCGGAAAAGTATTATTATACGAAATTTGTGCATTTATCTACACCTGCATTTTTGTCTGCGTCTCTATTTATGTAATTATTGTACCGATCGACAAATAAATTAAAGAAAATTAGCTGCTTTTAACTCACTGAAACAGGTAAAATTTTATACAATAAAATTGTCCACATTTTTAAGCTTCGTCTTAAAAAAATTTGTCTTTCCTCTTCTCGCATGTTATCAAAATAAAAATGTTATGTCTATATAAATTTTGCTGTTGATTGTCTCAATAAAAATGAATTTTTCAATTATATACCACAATGCTTTATTCCAGGAGGGAAAAAGTGCAAGATTTGCTACGTTTTAGCTCAAATAACAAGAGCGATTTTGCTGAATTCAGTGAAAATAACGCACAGGTTTAATATTAATTAATAATGTTAAAATAATTACAAAAAATTTTACTAAATTTGGAGAAATGAACGCTGAATGATTGAAAAGTTGCATATTCTTATTGTTATTGTCAGGAAATTTTATGAAAGCAAAAAAAAATATACGTTTTAAGTAATCATTTAAATTTAAATTATCGAATTAAGAAGAAAGAACAAACTGCAAAAAAAAAAATAGCAATTTCCGTTTCTTTTGAAGTGGAAAGAATGCAGATGAGTTTTTAATGTTCAAAAGTAAAGGTTTAAACATAAATATTCTTAAGATTTTTTGCATTAAATTAATTAAAAATTTATATTATTTGTCCGAATAAAAAATTAATATTTCCGAAAAATTATTTCAATTTATTAGTTTTAGTTGAATAAGCAGCAACGTGATGATTTTTTTTTTAAATAACCATTAACAAAGTTTTGCACACAATGGGTTTCCATAATTAACTGTTGCTGTTGCCGTTTTACATCGTCAATAGACACAATTTCTTTCAATACTTTTTGCGACACAAATAAAAAGGCTTCAAACCAATTAACTTGAAATAAAGTTTCCAAAGTAGCTTTTACGCTTTAAAAATTGAAACTGTGATTGGTATACTTTTTTTCTAACCACAGGGATAGAGGAAAAGTTTCAAAATAATTCACAATTAAAAAACCATAAAAAAGCTTTTTGTGTAAAGGTGTGGAAATATTACGCACTTACTTTTGCAAAATCGACTTTCGCACAAGTGGTCCACATCACTCCATCTCTATGCAGCAGCGAAAAGCAAGAGAGCATCCCCGCGTGCTGGCGGAGGGGGTGGCCGGGCCGGGGTTGCACCCCTCCGAGAGGAGCAAGCGAGGCCTGAGCGAGTAGAGTCGCCTCGAAAATGCCCACCGAGCCGGACACAGAGCAGCCTTTTCCGTCAGCCTGCACCTCCTGAAAGGTTCGTATGCAACCTGACAACTGAAATCTTCTAATTATTTACTAAATTATTTACACAAAATATTCAAATTTCCAAAAATAAAAAATATGAATTTATAATTTTATTCTAAAATTTTGAGTATTTCTAAAAACTTGATCTTTTTAATTATTTAAAATTACGTAATTTACTTGTATAGTTTTTATAAATTTTGCATTTTGCATAGAATTGAATGCCTCACTTGGTTTGAAACTTTTCCAACCATTAAGGGTTTATAACAGGGCGCCGTGTCGAACAGACTGGAAAACTTTGCTCGGCTGTTTGTGACACGAGAGACATAATTCGTGCGTTAGGAGCTTTCGGAAAAGAGAAGCTGGCGCGAAAAGCGACGCGAGCCTCTTCACACACCCCATAACTCGATTTGGGTCCAGAGAGTGAAGCAACCCCGTGTAAAATGGAATGCGTGTTCGTTTGCGTGTTTTGTTTTGAAAAGGCAGAGTGCGGATCGGAATTTGGTGCAGAGGGGGTGGCGAAGAGAGCAGGGGTGCGCGGGGGATGCGCCGCTCTCTATTTCGCTCTCTCGCACCCCTAAATCTGCAAAGTGTCAGGGTCCGTTGCCGGTAGAGCACCACGCGGCTCCCTTGAATTTAATTCCTGGCGCGATTTCGAAATTTCCCCTCGGGTCCGCCGCACGAAAAAAGCCGCCGCTTTTAATTCCGAGTTTAATTAGCTTCTGCAGCTGCAGTGCGGACCGCCACACAGATGAAAAAAAATGTTTGCCTTGCGGAATTATACCAAACAAACATCGTGGTCTCCGGGGCGGAAATCCTTTTACTTAAAACAATTGGATACTATAGGACTTGAGGGATTTAGGCCAAAGCTTTGAAAAAAAGCGGGCTTGAAATTTCATAAAATTCAATTAATACTAAAAAGATAAGCCCATTCTTAGAAGAGACTTTCTTTATCTGGATTTGTATTAAAATTTATGGCAATTTTTATAAAAGTTTATTACAATCTAGATTGAGTTTATGCTTGTTGAATTAAAAATCAGCTATTTCCTTTCTACTAATTTTTGTTTATACAGAAAAAAAAACAGTTTTACAATTCATGAGGGGTAATTCACTTTTCAAATTTAATGCATGTTATAATAAGTTTTAAATACTAATCAATTTTTGTTGAAATATTTAAAGATAATCCAAATTAATCTACATGCATCATGCAACACTGTAAAACCACCAAATTAAAAAGGGTTACAATCCATAAAGATATTTTAAGCATGTGATGACAATTTCTTATAATTAATTAAATGTCAGACTCAAATTTTAATGAATCATATTGAAATATACGTAGTATAAAAAATTAAGAAACAAATAAAAATTAATAATATAAATTGATTGGAATAAATAAAAGAAATTATATATGAAATATTATTTAAAAAAATTAACAAGTAAAAACAAAATAGCAACAAAAACAGCTTTATTTTACAAATTTATTACTTATTTCTTAAAATTTTTAATTAAATTTGGATTTTTCCTTCACATCAGTGTCAAATCAGATTTTATTAAGATTGCTGAGTCTCCTTTTAAAAACACGCAAGATGATTCGCACATAAAATCCAAGATGGAAGGGCAATTCGTTAGCGAAATCGCGCACGTACGTTTTTCTACGAGATTCAACCTCGACTATCTCCAGAGAGGAATCTCTCGTTTCTCATCCTTTTGCTTTAACCAAATTGCGCGACTTTTTTTGCTCAAACCGCCTCCAGAAAATGGGACGTCGCTCACGATGGCAGACAAAGTCTATTTAGCCCCTTGATCTTGAGGCTTCTTCCTTTTATTTTTTACGATCGCGAAATTGAACTCTTCTTCTTGGTTGGCCACTTTTCTTTGTGCCGACTGACCTAGTTGCGCACACCACGCCTAGCAGCACATATAATAAATGCTAATCTCTTGTGAAGTTCACTTTATCAAGCGCGTAACTCGCTTAAGGGAGGACGACGAACAGCCCTTTATAATTCGTCCTGGGCGTGTGTCATGAAAATTGCAAATTCACCCGCGACGGAAATAATACCCTCAGCAGCCGAGACACGCCGGTCGTTTTGCGATGATTTTCATGTGCGTCCTTAAATGGAAATTGGCAGTAAAATCAAGCTAGACTTGCTTCCTTGATATTATGACTTAGTGAGCAACTGAGCATGTTTAAAACTTTAATAAATTGTGTCTGGTCTGTAAGTATTTCCAAAAGGTTTGATTAGTATTGGTGCTTATTTGTTCAATGATATGATAATTTTCATTTTTCAACTAGTTCAAAGCTTGTGTTTACCTCCATAGTTTTAATTTTTTTATTTTTTCACTTTTATTGTCATGCACAGGTGACCAAATTGACACGAAAGCATCTAAAAACAAAATTTATTTTATGTAATAATTCTCTGACTTAATGCAATTGTTAATATTATAAATTAATTTCAATAAGTTAAAAAATGCGTAAAATTTAATAAACTTCTTTAATAGCTAATATATTAAAAATATTTAAAAATCGTTAAAAAAATTTTATAAACATATATAAAATATTCAAAACACAAATTTTGTTAACTATTTTTATTAAAATGTAAAAACGTAATGTTTATTTTTGTTTTATTTTAAAATGATTTTGTTGCATTTGCTTGTATAGAGAAATTTTACACACAAAGTCTTTAAATTTTAAAATATATGTAACATTTTTCTACTTATCATTTTTCTTTTTATCTTCATTCCTCATCCACTAACAAAATAATAATATTTGGGGAGAAATTGCAGGCATGCGTCTGCAACTTCGACTATGCGTCTGGTGTTTTCTGCGGTTTCCATCTGACATTCCAGGCGAAATGCCGGCATAGTTCACATTCATAGGCCGCAGCCGCTCACCTTCCTCACTCTTGAAAAATATAAATATGCGAACAACCAAACTTATCCTATTCTCCATTCTCGCAAGCTCAGTGGGTCCCAACGTCATCAACGTCATCGTGTTATCTGCCGTTGCGATTTAGCAGGCCTTTCTGCTACCGCTGATGCCTTTCCAAAGAGGATAAACAGTTAAAAAAAATTTATTTCATTATGTTTTTAATTAATATCAATTTCTCATCTTCAATAAAATTCCTATAAAAATCAAAATAATAATATTTAATATTTTTTATTATAGTTCAATGATTTTTGTTGCAGGAGATGGAGTCGGAGGAAGAGCCGTTGGTGTCGGATGAAGAGTCCGGCTGCTGCAGCGACTCGGGGGACAGCGACGAGGAGGGGTCAGCGACCCCTGCCCCCTCGCTGACCTCTGCCCGCGTCCCCCTGATCGCGTGGGGGGCGGCCGTGGCCGCCTCAGGCAGCGCCCTGGTGGCCACACTGCCGTTGGCCGCTCCTTCAGCCAGCTCCGTTCCGTGCCCCCTGTTTTTGGCCGTAGCGGCCGCGGCCGTCGGCCTCTGTGGCCTCGCACTGTTGGCGCCGCGGGTCGGGCCACGACGAGGTCATCTGGGGCCTCTGGTGAGGGCCGGCGGCTTCCAGGGTGCGGCCGTCGCGGCCCTCGGACTGGCCTCTCAGCCTGGCCGCCTCATGTGCCACCTGCAGGTGCCTCTAATGGGCACCGGACTTGCTTTCGCACTCGCATTTTGCTTCATCATTTGTAAAAAAGGTAACTTTAATTGTTTTAGTTAAAAATAAAATTTATTTAATTTGGAATAATGCATTTGCATGGGAACATTGTCAGTTGTCACTTTCCAATTGCGGTTAATGAGAAAAAAATAATTAAATTTTTAAATGAAAATGTCATAGAATGAAATTTATTTAAAATAAATATTTAACATTTATCAGTACTTTTGCATTTTGTATAAATTATTAAAGGAAAAGTTAAAAATTTGACTAAAAGCAAGAATGCAATAATGCAATCATTATAATTTTAACTCAACCATACTCGGAAAGCAAGCTTAACCAAAATATTTTGGTCGGTCATAGCAATACATACATATTAGACAAAAAACAATTTTAAAAAGATCAGCGAGTCTTTTGTTGTTAAAATATTATACTATCTTAACGATTTAATTTTTTTTCCTTTTTAATCGTAAAAATGTAAAAATAGGCTACAATTAATTTTTTTCCAAAACTTCTTTCATTTTTCTAAAGAACTAAAGTTGAATACTCAAAACTTATAAATAACGAAAATTCATGAAATAGAAATTCTACCATTAAGAATCTAATAGTTAAGAGTTTTGTACGTGTAAGATTTATATATATTGCTAGTTTTTATTCATGCTCCATCTTTTTTTTCCTGAAGGGCCGGGAAATTTTTCAATTAATCCGTTTATTTTTTCCAACAAAACTTTCCCATTACGCGACGGGTCTGTCGCTTTCCTACTCAAACTCTAAAACTTTTCTGTGTGTTCACCAGTGGTGAGTTTACGGCGTCTCCTGAGTGGGCTGATCGTGATCCTGGGCGTATTCGTCAGCGTCGACCTGCAACTGTGCAACGAGTTCCGCTGCCTGGGCAACCAAGTGCCGGCCGCGAAGAAGTCGGCCTGGGCGGCCAACGGTGCCCACTTTTTCTGGGCCGCCGTCTACGTGCTCGCCATCGCCATCTGGGCCTTCTCGTGCGCCCTCCTCGAGAACTTCTTCCTCCTCACTAAGGTCCGTGAATCACGATTTTCATTTAAAAGGAGTTTCAAACTATAGAATTTCGCAAAAGAAGGGCCGAAGAGTTTTAAAAATCATGATATTGAAGCAATTTTTAGATAAAATTTCTGTGAAAATCGAATATTATTTGGAGAAATTTTCGTCTGAATTTTCAACGAAACACATTCTTTAATCTATGATTTCGAAATACATTTGAAGTTATAGACAATTTGATAGAAATATTTTTTATTATAATTAATTATTATGAGCTGCAAAATATTAAATTATGATGAAAGAAGTTAGATTTGGTCAATAAAGCCTTTTTTCGAAAGGATATTTTTTTCAATGTATATATTTCACGATTATTGATGCTGTTTTGAGACTGGAAAAATTTGTAAGTCTTTTTTCCCGAATTTTACTTTTACATTTTTGATCTTTTATCCCCTCAAAAGCACTACTTTATTCATTCGTCACGTGCGGAGAAGATAAGTCGAGGTGCGCAAATTGAATTCGGCCGACCGCTTTCTTTGGCCAATTCTCGTGCGAATCGTTTTTCTCTCACGCACCACCGCTAATGCGATTGCCTCACTCGCCCTTTTTTCCGTTCGCTCTTTTATAAAGTCTCTTCGAAAGTGCCATTTCGCCAAGCGCGTCGCCGCAAACAAGCGGAAAAGGAAGCATAATCGTAAAAAAACCGGCAGCCAATTCAGCTCCTAAAACTAGAACGATCGACCTAATTTAATTCCTCTGCACAAGTTTGTCTTCGAAATTGATTCTCGTCGTCTCTGAGACGAGAGGTGAAATTCCTTTCTTTTATTTATCAAATCCTCGACTGCTGTCGTCGCCAACAAAAGCAGCGGAGCACGAACTGCCAATAAAACCCTGCCTGCCTCTTCTTTATTTGCTGTGACCCAAATGTTGTTTGACATGAAATCCGCGACGAGATTCAGTGTCAACAAAAATGATGGATGGCTGTCATGCCGGCAAGGCAAATTACATCCCAGTTCAATGCAACAAATCGCGGAAAATAATCATCGGAATTTTAATTTCTTTAAAATGTGCAGTTTTAGTATATTTTTATAGATTTTCCAAATGGAAATTTAAATAAGTTTATTTCACGTCATTACAAATTATTGCCTAGCAGTTTTCTGGTCCATCAATTTCAATGCTTTTCTATTTAAATTGAAACGACTAGAAAACATCTTTCGAATAGTGCAAATAATAGTCTATTAAAATAAGTTTTAATTGTTAATTGTAGTGGTTGTTTTGTCTAAAAAATATTTTGCACCCTTCAGGCTAAGATAATGAAAGTCGAGAATTTTAAAAAGCTAGAGCTGAAATTTAAATTCAAACATCTAAAAAGGTTTTTTGCGCCCTTCAGGCTGAGATATTGAAAGTCGAGAATTTTAAAAAGCTAGAGCTGAAATTTAAATTCAAACGTCTAAAAAGGTTTTTTGCGCCCTTCAGGCTGAGATATTGAAAGTCGAGAATTTTAAAAAGCTAGAGCTGAAATTTAAATTCAAACGTCTAAAAAGTTTTTTGCGCCCTTCAGGCTGAGATAATGAAAGTCGAGAATTTTAAAAAGCTAGAGCTGAAATTTAAATTCAAACGTCCAAAATGTTTTTTTGCGCCCTTCAGGCTGAGATAATGAAAGTCGAGAATTTTAAAAAGCTAGAGCTGAAATTTAAATTCAAACGTCTAAAAAGTTTTTTTGCGCCCTTCAGGCTGAGATAATGAAAGTCGAGAATTTTAAAAAGCTAGAGCTGAAATTTAAATTCAAACGTCTAAAATGTTTTTTTGCGCCCTTCAGGCTGAGATAATGAAAGTCGAGAATTTTAAAAAGCTAGAGCTGAAATTTAAATTCAAACGTCTAAAATATTTTTTTGCTCCTTTCAGGCTGAGATAATGAAAGTCGAGAATTTTAAAAAGCTAGAGCTGAAATTTAAATTTAAACGTCTAAAAAGGTTTTTTGCGCCCTTCAGGCTGAGATATTGAAAGTCGAGAATTTTAAAAAGCTAGAGCTGAAATTTAAATTCAAACGTCTAAAATGTTTTTTTGCGCCCTTCAGGCTGAGATAATGAAAGTCGAGAATTTTAAAAAGCTAGAGCTGAAATTTAAATTCAAACGTCCAAAATGTTTTTTTGCGCCCTTCAGGCTGAGATAATGAAAGTCGAGAATTTTAAAAAGCTAGAGCTGAAATTTAAATTCAAACGTCTAAAAAGTTTTTTTGCGCCCTTCAGGCTGAGATAATGAAAGTCGAGAATTTTAAAAAGCTAGAGCTGAAATTTAAATTCAAACGTCTAAAAAGTTTTTTTGCGCCCTTCAGGCTGAGATAATGAAAGTCGAGAATTTTAAAAAGCTAGAGCTGAAATTTAAATTCAAACGTCTAAAATGTTTTTTTGCGCCCTTCAGGCTGAGATAATGAAAGTCGAGAATTTTAAAAAGCTAGAGCTGAAATTTAAATTCAAACGTCTAAAATATTTTTTTGCTCCTTTCAGGCTGAGATAATGAAAGTCGAGAATTTTAAAAAGCTAGAGCTGAAATTTAAATTCAAACGTCTAAAATATTTTTTTGCTCCTTTCAGGCTGAGATAATGAAAGTCGAGAATTTTAAAAAGTTAGAGCTGAAATTTAAATTCAAACGTCTAAAATATTTTTTTGCTCCTTTCAGGCTAAGATAATGAAAGTCGAGAATTTTAAAAAGCTAGAGCTGAAATTTAAATTCAAACGTCTAAAAAGGTTTTTTGCGCCCTTCAGGCTGAGATATTGAAAGTCGAGAATTTTAAAAAGCTAGAGCTGAAATTTAAATTTAAACGTCTAAAAAGGTTTTTTGCGCCCTTCAGGCTGAGATATTGAAAGTCGAGAATTTTAAAAAGCTAGAGCTGAAATTTAAATTCAAACGTCTAAAATGTTTTTTTGCGCCCTTCAGGCTGAGATAATGAAAGTCGAGAATTTTAAAAAGCTAGAGCTGAAATTTAAATTCAAACGTCCAAAATGTTTTTTTGCGCCCTTCAGGCTGAGATAATGAAAGTCGAGAATTTTAAAAAGCTAGAGCTGAAATTTAAATTCAAACGTCTAAAAAGTTTTTTTGCGCCCTTCAGGCTGAGATAATGAAAGTCGAGAATTTTAAAAAGCTAGAGCTGAAATTTAAATTCAAACGTCTAAAATGTTTTTTTGCGCCCTTCAGGCTGAGATAATGAAAGTCGAGAATTTTAAAAAGCTAGAGCTGAAATTTAAATTCAAACGTCTAAAATATTTTTTTGCTCCTTTCAGGCTGAGATAATGAAAGTCGAGAATTTTAAAAAGCTAGAGCTGAAATTTAAATTCAAACGTCTAAAATATTTTTTTGCTCCTTTCAGGCTGAGATAATGAAAGTCGAGAATTTTAAAAAGTTAGAGCTGAAATTTAAATTCAAACGTCTAAAATATTTTTTTGCTCCTTTCAGGCTGAGATAATGAAAGTCGAGAATTTTAAAAAGTTAGAGCTGAAATTTAAATTCAAACGTCTAAAATGTTTTTTTGCGCCCTTCAGGCTGAGATAGTGAAAGTCGATAATTTTTAAAAGCTAGAGCTGAAATTTAAATTCAAACGTCTAAAATATTTTTTTGCTCCTTTCAGGCTGAGATAATGAAAGTCGAGAATTTTAAAAAGCTAGAGCTGAAATTTAAATTCAAACGTCTAAAATATTTTTTTGCTCCTTTCAGGCTGAGATAATGAAAGTCGAGAATTTTAAAAAGCTAGAGCTGAAATTTAAATTCAAACGTCTAAAAAGGTTTTTTGCGCGCTTCAGGCTGAGATAATGAAAGTCGAGAATTTTAAAAAGCTAGAGCTGAAATTTAAATTCAAACGTCTAAAATGTTTTTTTGCGCCCTTCAGGCTGAGATAATGAAAGTCGAGAATTTTAAAAAGCTAGAGCTGAAATTTAAATTCAAACGTCTAAAAAGTTTTTTTGCGCCCTTCAGGCTGAGATAATGAAAGTCGAGAATTTTAAAAAGCTAGAGCTGAAATTTAAATTCAAACGTCTAAAATGTTTTTTTGCGCCCTTCAGGCTGAGATAATGAAAGTCGAGAATTTTAAAAAGCTAGAGCTGAAATTTAAATTCAAACGTCTAAAATGTTTTTTTGCGCCCTTCAGGCTGAGATAATGAAAGTCGAGAATTTTAAAAAGCTAGAGCTGAAATTTAAATTCAAACGTCTAAAATGTTTTTTTGCGCCCTTCAGGCTGAGATAATGAAAGTCGAGAATTTTAAAAAGCTAGAGCTGAAATTTAAATTCAAACGTCTAAAATATTTTTTTGCTCCTTTCAGGCTGAGATAATGAAAGTCGAGAATTTTAAAAAGTTAGAGCTGAAATTTAAATTCAAACGTCTAAAATATTTTTTTGCTCCTTTCAGGCTAAGATAATGAAAGTCGAGAATTTTAAAAAGCTAGAGCTGAAATTTAAATTCAAACGTCTAAAAAGGTTTTTTGCGCCCTTCAGGCTGAGATATTGAAAGTCGAGAATTTTAAAAAGCTAGAGCTGAAATTTAAATTTAAACGTCTAAAAAGGTTTTTTGCGCCCTTCAGGCTGAGATATTGAAAGTCGAGAATTTTAAAAAGCTAGAGCTGAAATTTAAATTCAAACGTCTAAAATGTTTTTTTGCGCCCTTCAGGCTGAGATAATGAAAGTCGAGAATTTTAAAAAGCTAGAGCTGAAATTTAAATTCAAACGTCCAAAATGTTTTTTTGCGCCCTTCAGGCTGAGATAATGAAAGTCGAGAATTTTAAAAAGCTAGAGCTGAAATTTAAATTCAAACGTCTAAAAAGTTTTTTTGCGCCCTTCAGGCTGAGATAATGAAAGTCGAGAATTTTAAAAAGCTAGAGCTGAAATTTAAATTCAAACGTCTAAAATATTTTTTTGCTCCTTTCAGGCTGAGATAATGAAAGTCGAGAATTTTAAAAAGCTAGAGCTGAAATTTAAATTCAAACGTCTAAAATATTTTTTTGCTCCTTTCAGGCTGAGATAATGAAAGTCGAGAA